CCCCTTCCTCCCCCCTCCTCCCCCTCCCACACCCATTCTGGCACACCCCTCACACGTTTCGTGGCCCCATAGGGAGCTCCACCGAAGGCCCCAGTGGCTGCGCCCGCATGCGGTTCCACCCCCCATTCTGGCACACCCCTCACACGTTTCGTGGCCCCATAGGGAGCTCCACCGAAGGCCCCAGTGGCTGCGCCCGCATGCGGTTCCACCCCCCATTCTGGCACACCCCTCACACGTTTCGTGGCCCCATAGGGAGCTCCACCGAAGGCCCCAGTGGCTGCGCCCGCATGCGGTTCCACCCCCCATTCTGGCACACCCCTCACACGTTTCGTGGCCCCATAGGGAGCTCCACCGAAGGCCCCAGTGGCTGCGCCCGCATGCGGTTCCACCCCCCATTCTGGCACACCCCTCACACGTTTCGTGGCCCCATAGGGAGCTCCACCGAAGGCCCAAGTGGCTGCGCCCGCATGCGGTTCCCACCCCCATTCTGGCACACCCCTCACACGCTTCGTGGCCCCATAGGGAGCTCCACCGAAGGCCCCAGTGGCTGCGCCCGCATGCGGTTCCACCCCCCATTCTGGCACACCCCTCACACGTTTCGTGGCCCCATAGGGAGCTCCACCGAAGGCCCCAGTGGCTGCGCCCGCATGCGGTTCCACCCCCCATTCTGGCACACCCCTCACACGCTTCGTGGCCCCATAGGGAGCTCCACCGAAGGCCCCAGTGGCTGCGCCCGCATGTGGTTCCACCCCCCATTCTGGCACACCCCTCACACGTTTCGTGGTTCCATAGGGAGCTCCAACGAGCGCCCCAATGGCTGCGCTCGCATGCGGTTCCACCCCCCATTCTGGCACACCCCTCACACGCTTCGTGGCCCCATAGGGAGCTCCACCGAACGCCCCAGTGGCTGCGCTCGCATGCGGTTCCACCTTCCCATTTCGGCACACCCCTCACTCGTTTCGTGGCTCGGGGGCGCCACCGAGGAATATATCCACAATTGCGGTATTCACAACTACGTATGGTTGGGTCTTTCGTCAGGCTAATTTTTCCGCATGTCCAGATATCACGCCCAGGGCGGGATGGCCCGAAACTGAATATCAAACACATGCGCCGTGGTACCAGAAGAAACCATCAAGCCGCAGTGCCACCTATCGGCAGACCGGCACTGGCTGGCCCCAAGAGCTACGAAAGCCAACGATTAGTTGCATAAGTTGGAAGAGACGTGAGACAGCGGAGTCCCCTGCAACCGACCATGCTCGAGAGGCCTCTCGGCATCCCGCCCAGAACGGGCACGGCAAGGCAAGACACTACAACGCCTAGGAAACGAAAAACAGGAGGAATAGTACTAACAATAAAAATTCGTACTAATAATGATAAGAATGCAAAGAAGACGACTAAGAAGAATACGAAGAAAAAGAAACGAAGGAGGAACGGAAGAGGAGGAAGAGGATGATAATGGCTGGATTCCCAAATATAACATCGGCGGCGCACCGCGTCCGCCTCGGTCCGACGCGGAGCACGACGGGGGCCCTGTGGCTGACCCGTTCGGCTCACCAGCCACCCGCGCAATAAATTCTCCAAGCGCCCTCGCACGGCGTGCCGCGGCCACTGCTATTCGGCGCAGTTCTCTGCGTGGGCCAGCGTAGCGGCAGCCCGCCTAGGGCGACGCTAGGGCATGCAATCGGCGGGGTGGGGACACGCAACACACATCTGTTCTGGCGTCGAGGCCACGCGCGCAGCGACGCAACGGAGACAGCGGGAGCGCGCTGGGCCCTCACGCAACCACTGGGCGGGGCTTCGCAGGATCAACCTATGAGAAACCACGCTGCGCGTGGACCTCATGGAGAGGCAGCACACGCATGAACTTGTCCTCCAGTGGCGAAGTCACGACGCCGTCGCGATGTGCTAAGCTGGGCCAAGCTTAGGCGAAATGCCACCTTGTGTAACAGATGGGTGGACTGGAGAGGGGCAGTCACATGCAGAATAACAACAAAGCATAAGCAGCTACACACGAAAAAGGTCGAAGCGCTTACGCAATTCAATGCAATGCAACGCAACGCACTGCAATACAATGTGATGCAATGCAAGCGTGGGCCAAACAACCATTTAAAGCCGCATGAGAAACGCACGGGTCGGTGATGTTACGCAGCCCGGCTGTAAGAGTGAGACGCGCACTTTTTAAGTCCGCGGGCGCCAGGTGGTCAAGGACAGTCAGACGTCGGCCATCAGGCGGTGGGATGCACTGGAAGCGAATTGAGGCACAAAAGCAAAGTGATCGGGGCGCGAGGAGAAGGCATCAAAGAGTCCGCTCAGACTATGAACGCTGGCTCGGGGTTGCCATGGAAGAATTCGTAAGCGGGCTGCGGAACAGCAGTGCGACGCACACACACACACACACACAAAAACAACCTTCATAAACCGTCTACACACCGAAGCTTCTCCAGATAACCTTGCGGAAGCGGACGGGACAGCCGCCAACAGAAACCCCTGAGGAAGGCGCCTCCGACCTGTCCAGCGGGCGGCGGGCAGCCCTCCGGCTCCTGCGGCTCCTCCAGCACGGCCTCTCGGCTGCACGCGGAAGCGACTCTGGGCGAGAGTGGCCTGTGGTGCGCGGCCTGCCGATTGCTACACGCGATGCGATGATGGCCGGCTACTTATTAGGCCGTGGCCCCACGTGCCCCTCGAAGGCCGCGCGCCAAAGGTCACTCCAGCGAAGCTCCAACGCAGTAAGCCTGGGGGAGGAGGAGGAGGAGGAGGAGGAGGAGGAGGAGGGAGGAGGAGGAGGAGGAGGAGGAGAGGAGAGGAGGAGGAGGAGGGGGAGGAGGAGGAGGGAGGGGAGGAGGAGGAGGAGGAGGAGGAGGGAGGGGAGGAGGAGGAGAAGGAGGAGGGGGAGGAGGAGAGGAGGAGGAGGAGGAGGAGGAGGAGGGAGGTGGAGGACGAGGACGAGGACGAGGAGCGAGGAGCGAGGAGCGAGGAGGAGGAGGAGGAGGAGGAGGAGGAGGAGGAGGAGGAGGAGCGAGGAGCGAGGAGCGAAGAAGGAGGAGTATTTAGGGGGGAAGGAGCAGGAGGAGGACAATGAGGAAGACAAGGAAGGGGGGGGAAGCAGAGCGATCCCCAAACAAACCCGTCTCACTGCATTGGAGGAAGGTTCGCTCTCACGTTTAGCCAAGGCCTTGCACCACTCCCTGTGCCGCACCCGCCGCCCGTCGTTGAAGAGGACAGCCCCGACGCTCTTGCCTCGGGCCAGCACTGGAGGCCGTCGCCGTCGTCCGTCGTCTTCGTCCTCGTCCTCCTCCTGCTACCTGCTGCTGCTCCTCCTCCTCCTCCTCCAATTCCTCCTCCAATTCCTCCAATTCCTCCTCCTCCTCCTCCTCCTCCTCCTCGTCCTCCCCCTTCTCCTCTTCCGCTTCCTCCTCCTCCTCCTCCTCCTCCTCCTCCTCCTCCTCCTCTAGGAGGGGCAGCAGTGGCAGAGACACCAGTAGGAGTGACGACAAATTAAGATACGATAAGGAAAGCTGAACTGAGCCGGGTTGAGTCGGGCACTGACCAGCGAAACTCCCAAGGGATATACAAAAGCCAGCGCGCTAAAGGTATATTGTTTTTGCCTGCTGCTAAAACAAATCAAGAGGAGAAGGGACACCAGCTAAAGCAGGAGTCCGAGAAATGGTGGGACAGGGATGAGGAGGAGGAGGAGGAGGAGGAGGTGGAGGACGACGACGACGACGAGATGGAAGTTTAAGATGCGGAGGCGGGGGGGGGATTTGCGCAGAAGCCGGGCTACGCGGCTAACCGTGCACAGGAGAGTGGCTAGGACTCAACCAGATTTGGGTCTCCCTTCCTCATCCTCCTCTTCAACCGCCCTCCACCTCCGCCCCCTTCCTCCTTCTGAAGATGAGGTCGTCCGTTCCAGCAAGTTCCTGGCGTTACGTGCTTGCTTTGCTCATACGAGCGGCATGTAGCACGGGGCTCTTGCACCCGATACTGAGACTTCAATTACCTAAACCATACGGGGACTACTGTAGCAATCTCGATTTACAGTTGAAGTGTTCGACCTGCTGGATCATTTACCTTCTGGGATCTTCGTGAAACCATTCGGAGAATCACCAGGTGTAAGGCCGCCAGGTTCTACGCATGCTTGTTGTGCACATGCCCGAGTCCTATGGAGACGAGCTCATGCACCAAGTATCCTTGAATAGACAATCCGCCACCGTGCCGCTGGACACGGAATGGGCGTGTCCTCAGGTCTTCTGGCTAATTCGGCAAACACTCCTCAGGAGTCTTTCAAGGGCCCAAAACCCAAGTTCACTAATCTCCTGGGCCTTCCCGCGTCTTGTCGCGTGACCGTTTCGGGACCAAGAGTGCCCCAAGATGGGCCAAGAGGGCCCTCAAGACAGTCCACGAGGGCCCCGAGTCGCCGAACGATCGCCCCAAGACGCTCAAGATGGCCCCCAGACGGCCCAAGAGGCCTCGAAGACGCCCCAAGAGGCCTCCAAGAGGCCTCCCAGGAGGGTCCCAAGAGGCCAAAATCATTGATGTGTCTTAGGTTCTTTGAACATCTCTGGCGTTCCCGCCTTTTCGGCTTCCCGACGCCCCCGGACGGCCCCCCAGATCGCCCCAAGACGGCCCAAGAGGCCTCAAAGAGGGCCCAAAATGGCTCGACAGGGCCCCAAGACGGCCCAGGAGACGCCAAAGACGGCCCAAGAGGCTCCAAAGACGGCTCCAAGAGGGGGCCCCGATGGGGGACCAGAGCGGGCATTTCGAGACCTCGGCCCCGAGGGGCCCCCAGGAGGTTCCAAGAGGTCCCTAAGGTGCCCTCAACAGGCCCCAAGAGGCTCCAAAAAGGCCCCAAGAGGCCCCCAAGAGGCCCCCAAGGGGTCCCCAAAGATGCCCAAAAACTGCCCCCAAGAGGGCCCCCGAGAGCGCTCTGACGAGACTCTAAGAGGCATCCGAGAACTCTGACCCACAGCCCAGGCACGGTGGCAGGGTGGGCCGAAGGCTGGTAGATCCGCCGCCCCCGGTTGGCTTGCCACAGGGGCGCCTGGCGTGCCAAACTATTTCGGTTTTGGTTTTGGTTCTTTTCCAGAAGAACTTTTTGGGGCTTCGGCCCGTCCCGCCGGCCACCCTGAAGGCCCGCAATTCTCCAAATGTTTCGCTCAAGACGGCCCAAGATGGTCTCCAAGATGGCCATGTTGGCCCAAGATGGCCTCCAAGATGGTCCAAGATGGCCTCCAAGTCCGCCCAAGATGGTCCAAAACGCCTCCCATATGGCCCAAGAGAGTCCATGACGGCCGAAGACGGCCCATGAGGCCTCCCAGAGGCCTCCAAGACGGTCCAAGAGGACTTCAAGAGGTCCTCCAGGAGGGCCCGAAGAGGCCCAAATCACTGATTTTCCATAAGTGTTTGAAAGATTTTCGCATTCGCCTCTTCTCGGTTTTCCGACGACCCAAGACGGCCCAAGAGCCCCCACAGCGCCCAAGAGGCCTCCAAGATGGCCTCAGGACTGCCCAAGAGGCCCCCAAGACGGCCCCAAGAGGGCACAAAGACGACCCAAGAGGCCTCCAAGACGCCCAAGACGGCCTCTAAGACGGCCCTGGAGCACCCCAAGAGGGCCCCAAGTCGGGCCCGAAAGGCCCCCCAAACGGCTTCCGACGGCGTCAGACGGGCCAGGAGCCCACCAAGATGGCCGAAGTTGGCTCGAAGCTGGCGCAAGACGGCCCAAAAGGCCTCCAAGAGGGCCTCCAGGAAGGCCAGAAAATGCCAAAAACACTGATGCTCCCCAGATTTTCGAAGGATTTTGACATTTGCTTCGCTTCGGCCTTCCGACGGCCCGATACGGCCCAAGAGCCCCCAAAGATCGCCCAAGGATCGTCCAAGAGGCCTCCAAGATGGCCCCAGAACGGCCCAAGAGGCCCCCAAGACGGCCCAAAGAGGCCCCCAAGACGGCCCAGGAGGCTTTTAAGACGCCCAAGATGGCCTCCAAGACGGCCCTGGAGCATTCCAAGAAGGCCCCAAGTCGGCTCAGAGAGGTCCCCCAAAAGGCTTCCGACGGCGTCAGACGGGCCAGGAGAACACCAAGATGGCAGAAGTTGGCTCGAAGCTGGCCCAAGAGGCCTCCAAGAGGGCCTCCGGGAAGGCCCGAAAAGGCCCAAATCATTGATTTTCCATGAGTGTTTGAAGGATTGTGTCATTTGCTTTTTGTTCGGCCTTCCGATGGCCCGAGACGGCCCAAGTGCCCCTAAAGATCGCCCAAGAGGCCTAAGACGGCCCCAAGAGGCCCCCAAGACGGCCGAAGAGGCCGCCAAGACGTTCAAGATGGCCTCCAAGACGGCCCAAGAGCCCTCCAACACGTCCTCCAAGAAGGCCCGAAAGGGTCAAAATGGCCTCCAGGCGGCCAAGATGACCTTCAAGATGCCCACGTGTTCCCCGAAGGCTTTCCAAACCGATTCGGGGAACACATGGTCCGATAGCTTGGCAGATCTGGCCTCAACGTTCGGCCACATAGGCGCTTCCAAAAAGGCAGGGGGCGGCGGTGATTCGCTGTAGGCGTCTTCGATATCTTGACGAGACATCCTGTCTCCATCGTTGAACATCTGACAGAAGTGTGCCATTCATGTTTACATTGTGCAGGAGCGTGAAGCATCTTCCGAGCAGAGCTGCGCACCGGGGAACCAACATGACTGAGCCCGGCGAAACCCAAACTAGGGGAACGCTTCCTAAGTGGCATTGCTTGCCCATTGCTTTGCGGTGCTTGGTATTGCTTTGCGTCGCTTGGCATTGCGTTGCGTTGCTTGGCGCTGCTCTGGGTTGCTTGGCTTTGCATTGTTTGACATTGTTTGGCGTTGCGTTGCATTGTCTGGCGTTGCTTGGCGTTGCTTGGCATTGCTTCGCATGGCTTGGAATCGCTTGGCATGTCTTTGCGTAATGTTGCATTTCGCTGCGTTGCTCTACATGGCTTGGCATCGCGTGGCATCGCTTGGCATTGCTTGGCATCTCTTGGCATTGCTTGGCAATTATATGCATTGTTTGGCGTTGCTTCAAAAACAATGAAGAAACCATGCCAGACAACCAGGGGAACCAAGGGAACCCGACGAAGGCCGGCCTTCCAAAACAGTCAGGGAACACGACCCAAGGAACCGGGGGATGACGGGGAAGCCCGAGGAGCGCGAGGACGGCTGGCATTTCAGAAACAGTAAGTGAACAAAACCACAGGGACCAATGGAACCCCGAGGAACGCCACTGTAAAGAAACAAGACCGGGGAACCCCAAGGACCACCCTTGTAAGGAAACAAAACGAAGGAACCCTGGGGAACCCCGGCGCGACCGGGTCCAGCACCCACCAGTTTCTTCAAGAACAAATGAAAGCCCCTAAGGCGCAGCTAAATCGGGAGACTACGAACGACGCTCGTGAAATGGTCCAACATGTAGAGGCCATGTTCGACGGTCAGCGTTTGCAACATTCGCAAACACAAGTTGTGATCTGATTTGGCTGCCACATGCAGCTCACTTGAGCAGACAAGGTTTGGCACAAAACGGCAACGGGCAAGTGAGCAACAGATATCGATCACCGTAGAGCTGCGATCCGAATGAAAATCGTGATTGAAAGGCTTGGGGGAATCTTGCAGTCACAACGCGCCTCGGTGAATCACGGCAACCGCCGAGCGACATAGGCATAGCCTTGCGAGCGGAGGAGGATTGGGAAGGCTCCGCGGCAAAGAGCAAGTTGAGAGCAACACGGCAGGGCAGCGCCAGGCAGGCAGAATAAAGAAAGGCCAAGAAGAGCCAAGACGACGAGGACAACAAAGATGGTCACAGACACTTGAACTAGCCCAGTCGCCCAGCGTGCAGCAGAGCACCACCTGCTTGCGCCACCGCTGCTCGTCTGCGCCGCTGTCCCCGAAGACGAGCTCGCTGTATCCCGCGGCCGTGGTGTGGATCATCACGTGCACGAAGGAGGCCTCCCTGGCAGGAACTGCCCACGGGGACACCACAAAAAAGTTGTGAGAGCCACGGCGCAAGCTCACGGACATGACATGACAACTGATATCTATATCTGCCACCGCGCCCCCTGGCACGTTGAGGCGTGGAAGCATGCCAAGGTCTGCACGACAGAGCTCTTGCAATATGACATGGGGCTTCCTCTCCCTCTACCCGCGGACTGTGCGCTCATCTTCCCTACTCACCGAGGCCACTGCCCGCGTGCCGGCTCGAAGACGGTGCACTTCCAGCATGGCAGCTAACGCATCGTCCCCCGTTCCGTGCGTGCCCGCTCGAGGATGGTGCACTTCCCGCACGGCAGCTAATGCCAAAACACCCCTTCCGCGCGTGCCCGCTGGAGGATGGTTGATGTCTGAACTGTCATTCCATGCGCGCCCGCTGGAGGATTGCGCACTTCCCTCATGGCTGCTACCTCCTAGACCTCTCGTCCCACGCGCACCCGCTCGAGGAACGTGCACTTCCCAGTCCCAGCCGCTGCTCCTAAGCGCTCCATGGCCTCCCAAGCAACGATCCTTCGTTACAAACCGTGGATATGCGTCTCACGCTTCTCAGACGGCCCGTGCAGGCAACCAGGGACACCAATATGGCCGAAGATGCCTCGAAGACGGGCCACGATGGCCCCAAGGCGGCCAGATTTTGATTCAAGACTGCCCAAGATGCCTTCAAGATGGCCCACAATGGCTACAAAAAGACCTCCAACAAGCTCCGAAAAAACCAAACTCATTGATTTCCCTTGGGCTTTTGAATGATTGTCGTATGCTCGTCTTTTCGGGCTGTCGTCAGCTTAATACGGCCCAAGAGGACTCCACGATGGCCAAAGAGGCATCCAAGACGGCCCCAAGTCGGCCCACGAAGACCTCCAGTGGGACTCTAGACGATCTTAGAAGGCCCTTCGACGGCCAAAGACGGCGCGCAGACGGCCCCACGACGGCCCAAACGAGCACCCAAGCCAGCGTAAGAGGTCACAAAGACGGCCTAAGAGTTCCCCAAGGAACCCCGAACACTGTCCCACAGGAGGCCAAAGCAGCCCCAACACGGCCCAAACGAGTTTCATCATCATCATCATCACCATCATCGGCATCGTCGTCGGTATCATCATCACCACCACCACCATCAACATCGTCATCACTAACATCATCATCATCATCATCATCATCATCACCATCATCACCATCATCATCACAATCATCATCATCAGCATCATCATCATCACCATCATCACAACATCATTACCACCGTCGTCATCATCATCCGCGTCCTTGGCCGCGTCATCAGCATCATCATCATCATCAGCAGCAGCAGAATCATCATAACCACCATCAAATCATCACCAGCAGCATTATCATCAGCATCAGCATCATCCCCATCCTGGTCATCGTCACCATCACCAGTTCCATCATCATCCTCATCATCACCAGCATCATCGTCATCATACTAACCATCACCAGCACCATCACCATCATCGTCATCATCACCAGCAGCATCAGCATCATCATCAGCATCATCACCATCATCAGCATCATCACCATCAGTATCATCATCAACACCTTCATCCTTATCATCAGCATCATCATCATCATCAGCAACATCATCATCATCGTCGTCGTCGGCGGCGTCGTCGTCGCCATCAACATCATCAGCACCATCATCAGCATCAGTATCGTCGTCGCCAGCATCATCGCCCTCGTGCTCGTCATCGTCCTCGTCATCGTCATCATCAGCACACTCAGCCTGATAATAATCATAAGCATCACCATAGTCATAATCATAAGCATCATCATCATCAGCACCAGCATCATTATAATCATTATCATCACCAGCATCTTCACCAGAATCATAACCATCATCCTCACCATCATCTTCATCATCATCAGCATCGTCGTCGTCATCATCATCAGCATCATCATCAATCTCATCCTCCTCCTCCTCATCATACTCGACGTCATCGGTATCTTCATCGTCGTCGCCGCCGTCATCGTCATCATCATCGCCGTCATCGTCCTAGTCCTCGTCCCCGCCCATATCAGAATCCTCATCATCATCATTATCATCAGCATCATCGTCAGTCTCATCCTCCTCCGCATCATACTCAACTTCACCGTTATCTTCATCGTCGATGCCACCGTCGTCGTCATCAGCGTCGTCATGGTCATCGTCCTCGTCTCCGGCCTCATCAGCATCCTCAGCACCATAATCATCATCGTCATCATCATCATCATCATCGTGTTCATCATCGCCAGTATCAGCATCATATCAGCATCGGCATCAGCATCAGCATCAACATAATCATCATCATCATCGTCGTCGTCGTCTTCATCAGCATCATCGGCCGCATCGGCATTCTCATCATCTTCAGCCCACTCACACTCAACCTCATCGGCACCGACATCGTCGACGCCGTCGTCATCATTATCACAACCATCAACATCATCATGATCATCACCACCATCACCAGCACCATCACCATCACCATCATAATCATCATCAGCATAAGCATAATCATCGTCATCATCGTCATCATCGTGATCGCCATTGTCATCGTCATCGTCGTTGACAGCATTACCATCACCATCACCATCATCATCAGCATCATCAGTGTCGTCAACATCATCATCATCATCATCATCATCATCATCATCATCATCATCATCATCATCATCATCATCATCATCATCATCATCATCATCATCATCATCATCATTATCATTTGCCGTATCGCATTCCTCCTCCTCCTCCTCCTTCTCCTCCTCCCCTTGCTCCCTGTGCTCATCCTCATTATCATCCATCCTCGTCTCCCCCCTCCTGCCCCCACTCCTCCCACCTCATCCTTCCCGATCTGGCTGCGGCGAAAATGAGTCACACCTCTGACCACGGTTGTTGCTCGCAGGACAGTGGTGGCTGGATCCCGCCTGGCAATCCTGGGCACTGGTTCACACTACGATAGCTAGGGCGGAGGAGGAGTTGAAGGCGAGGATGAGGAGGAAGAGGAGACAATGACAAAGATCGGCGAAGAAGGAGGCGGAAGACAAGCCAATTACGGGGGAGGAAGAAGAGGAGGATGAGGAGGCAAAGAAGGAGGATGAGCAGGAGAATGAGGAGGAGAAGGCGGAGGAGGGGGATACGGAGGTGGGAGGGATGAGCAGGTGGACGAGGGGCGATGGAAGGAGGAGGAGGAGCAGTAGTCAATGAAAGGAATGAGGAATTTCGCAGACCATAATTCGACCGGCGTCCTGGTAATGACACCCTCCAACGCGCCTTGCCCTTCAGGCTCTTGGAGAGAATCTCGGTGGCGTTGGCCTCCAGCGTCGAGGGTCCCCCCTCGTCCTCCTGCTCATCCCATCCCTCTCTCCCTTCATCCCCTTCTCTCCTGGCACCGCCTCAACACCCGCAACGATCAAGACCGAGGAGAACGGAAAGGAAGAGGACACAGGGGGAGACGTGGGAGGTCCTCGCCTCCGCCACTCTCCACCACTCCGCAGCCCTTGCCTTGAGGGGACAGGCCTGAGCAATGTGGTGACATTTGGCCCAAGGGATCTTGCCTCTTCCTCCTCCTTCTTTGTTTCGCGGCAAATGTACAAGTGTCGTAGCTAAATGCTCAGGTTCCCGAAGAGACGGGGAACCTGCCTTTATCAGCTTTGGCCCTTATGAGCTTGATGTGTTTGCGGATCTTTATCGAGAAGCGTTTCTCAAAATGATATCGTTCTCGCCGACACTTCTGCGCACACTCAGTCCAGATGGCGGGGCGGCAACCGTGCTGCAGGGCACTGTCCAACCAAAGGAACACTTGCTCTAGAGTCAAATAATCCGCTGCGTCAGGAGAGAATTGGTGGTAACACTCGTGGCGACGGTGTTTTTGTCAGACTCGCTCAGAACAGGCATCGCAACAAGATTTCTCGGAGAACTGGCCAAAGAAGCCTGTTGGTCATCCTCCCCCGTGCCATGGCGGACTTCATCGTAGCCTGCGCCATCTGCAGGCCTCACTCTTCTGCCACTCCTTGCTGTCCCCCATACACGCGTTGCCACCATGCTTCGATCACAGTTGTGGCCTCATTGCGCAAGTCGCGTTCACCGTTTGACTGGCCCGAGATCCCCCTCCTCCTCATCATCCTCCTACGCCTCCTCCTCCTCCCGCCCTCCTCCCCCTCCTCATCTCCCTCCTCCTCTCTCTCCTCTTCCTGCTTTCCATACTCCCCTCCTCCTCGCCCTCAGTCCTCTCGCCCGCCCCCGCGCGCTCGCGGAAGCGCGCGCGCGGGGCGGGGGGGGGAGGGAGAGGGTCGGCCTCAAGCGTCGAGAAGGTGTCGTCCGCGATGCCGATTGCCTTGGAGACGAGCTTCGTGATGGAGATGCCTAGGACGACGCCAGCTTACAGTGGGGGCGTTCGCTCAGGAGTGTGCCAGGGAGGCGTCGGAGCATGGAAGGTTCCTTATCTGATGAGAGCGGCGATGAAATCCAGTGCCAAACATCAATTTGTATCCCACCGGCTTTCAGGCTCTGGCTTCCTTATCCCAGGGCTCCTTATCCAGTGCATCCAAACCGATCCTGACAACGCCGAAGCTGGGCCCATCATTGGCACAGCCAGGGTCAATACAGGTGGATAGTTGAGACCCCCTGGATGCCAACCACGCCCTTCCAGTTGAAGTGCTTGACGATCTGACTCAGGGTGTTGCACACAATCTCCTCGGGCGTTGCCCTTGCCCCGCGAAGGGCGATGGGGGCAGAACCGAACATTCGAACGGAACCCAATCAGGCGCACGAGCACTGGTTACAAATCTGGTCTAACGATGCCGCCGCTCATGTCTTGTCGTGGACAGGGCCCAGGACAGTCAGCATCGAATCGACAAATCGGATCGAGTCGGAACGCGCGTCAAATCGGGCCGCATCGGAAAGGTAACGAACTCGAATCGGATCAACTGCGCCCAAACATACAGCGACGCTTTGCCAACACCGGGTCGCTTCGGATCAAGGGGCATAGAAAACGAATCGGGCCGAGCCGGGTAATCTCGGCATCGAATCGGATCGACCAGGTCGAAATGGGCCCGGCCAGCGTCTGCTCGCTTTCATTAGCCCACACTCGCGCTGAGCTGGAAAAAACCCAAACTTCACGAGTGACGCCGGAAGTCCGACACCATCCTCCATCATGTCCATTCGCGCGCCCGGAATCCGGGAGCTGGCTTCTTCCTCCTCCTCCTCCTCCTCCTCCTCCTTATCCTTCTCCTCCCCATCATCATCATCCACATCCCCATCCTAAGTTTCTTTCTCTTCCTCCTCATCCTGCAACCCTCGCCCTCCTCCGCCCTTGTCGTACTCTTCACCTCACTATTACTATTCGTATGTTTCTTAGTATTATTCTTACGTATTCCTCTTATGATATTGTGATGATGATGGTTCGGATTATTTTCAACGGAAATGACCTCGACAGCAGAACCAAACCACACGATGCCCGTCCAACATCAGACAAATCCGCTCCCCCTCGTGAAGGCTATAATCACACCCATTGGATACAGGCTAAAATCCTATAGCGACCGTGACGTAAAGCGACCGGCCCGGTCGAGGTCACCACTACCATGGAGGAGGAGGAGGAGGAGGAGGAAGAGGAGGAGGAGGAGGAGGAGGGAGGGGGGAAGGAAGAAGGGGAACTGCACAAGCGGAGCCAACATGCGGAACAGGTATGTTAAAGTGTTATGTTTGCCCCGCCCTGAGGAACGGAACGGAACGGAACGGAAGTCTGCGTGCCAGCTCCGGTAACCGGAGCGGTCCCCTAGAGGGCAGACCGTGCCCTGAGCATGTCGGAAAATGAATGTCGGCAACGAGCACACGCAGGAAAATGCGATTAATAATTCCTCTGGTGTGCAGGTTTTCCGTCAGAGAACCTTCGCTGGCTAAGAAGAGCGAGAGGAGGAGGAGGAGAAGGAGGAGGAGGAGGAGGAGGAGGAGGAGGAGGAGGAGGAGAGGAGAGGAGAGTGGGGCAGCTAGCAGCGCGCCGCGGGCACGTCTACATTCAGTGTATCAGAGAAATCAGTCTTATCATGTACGGAACGCGTCACCCCGCCCTGTGGGAGCAAACCTATATGGACGATACGACAATTCCCCAAGGTCGTATCGGTGAAACCGGGGGGGAGGAAAGGGGGAGGGAACAGGAGGAGGGCGACGAAGAGGAGGAGTGGGAAGGGAAACGCTGAAACCGCCAGGCTGCGGCAACACGAGCAGCCCTGATGCAAAACCCTCCCTAGTTTTTACTCGTGCGGAGGGCGCCACGCATGCGCTCAAAACTCAATATCGTGTGACAGAAGCAAGGAGCAGGGGGGAGGAAGAGGAGGAAGCAGAGGAGAGGGGAAGAAGAACACCAACACGAGATATCACATGCAGAACCACTCCAGCCTGTCCACGGGCATGCACCGCGGAACGTGCTGTCCAGGGCGCGTGGTCGCGCAATCACTGCCTGGGCCAGCCTTAGGCGAGGGCCGAAGGAGCCGCGCGCGGACGAGGCGAGGGAGAGGCGGCGGCAGCGGCGGCAGGAGGAGGGGGAGGGAGACTACTGCTGTGGAGCCCACGCTCGAGCAAAGCAGCTCGTGGCGGCGCCACTCCCGCGCAAGAGCTCGCGGGCCGTGTGGGCCAGCGCCCGCCAGGCGACGGGCGCTGGCGAAACGCTGTGCCTGCACCGGCAATGCGCGATATATACAGCTGCCAGCCGGATCGCTTTCCGCACCAGGACGCACCAGGACATCACGAGCGCTCGCCGAATACCGCGGCTCCAGAATGAGGAAATCTTCCATGACCCCGTTGCCGACCGTCGCGACCAGGCCACAGAATCGGGAGCAGAATTCCCGCACAACTGGGCAGAAACCGTAATGTTCGATGCTGTCCTCGCACACACAACCAAATATGCACCCTGGGCTCCTGTCTTGAAAGCGCCGTCTCGTGACCCAGCCATTCCACCAGGTCTGGAGGACGGCTGCTCGAACCCGGGCTGCGAGCACCGAGCTAAGGGACGGCAGTGCCAGCAACGCGCGCTCTGCGCGAACCCGTTCAAACAGGGACATGTCATACCGCGCCAGACGCCTCCGTATGAACTGGTGCAGAATAGCATGGGTGGAACGTCTGAAAAATGGAAGGGTCGCAGCAGCGCTTGCCAAAGCCACTTCGTACTCGACATCTGGGTGGTCACTGTGCTGAGATGAATTGTTACAAGTCTCCACTTCCCCATCGCATCAAACACGTCCACATATGCTGCTCTACCGTCTTGCGTAATATGAAAATCTTCAAATCAAATCTTCAAATCCATCCGCACAAAAACTTATGTAGCAAAACGGCCACGCTCGGAGTCCTCCCCCCGCATGCCCCAACGCACCATAGATGCCCACCCTCCACAGCTTCAACTCTTGTGGTGACGCTTGTCGGGCTTTCTTGAATTAGTACTGAATCCCATTTCCGACTCAGAGTGTGAGCATTATAGAGGACATTGACAAATCCTTCGTCACTTATGCCTGCAACTTTCCACGTGATTACACGACTGCCTTGCGGGCGCTCCGTGGTTGAGTTCAGCTACGTCCTTACGCCGCGCTGAAACTGGATAATCACAAATTGTTTCTTTGTATACCCCCCGGCCACCTCCGAGTGAGGCTGAAATTGTTGATGCCTTCTGCGTAGGGTGTCAAAGGTCCTCCTCTTCTTCCCCTGTCCCTCTCTTGCAGCACCATTCCTTCATGTAAGCCTTCACGCCCTCCTTCACACTCGCTCCCTCACCCTAACTCCCTCACCCTGGTACTGCACTCCTTTCCTTTCCTCTGCCCATGCTACTGTTTCGCCTTTGAGCTCCACCACCCGTTCCTTTCACTGAATCGCAATATCTTTGAGATCGTAGCCCCGGATGTCCTTCAATTGGTGTTTGGTTTGGCCCAACTCTTTATCCAATATTCGTTGTTGCATGGTGTCATTGTTTTTGAACCTCATGTCGGATCCATTATGCCATTTAGTTGTGATGGAATTCATTTGTTTCACAAATCCGATCTTGGAGGCCATGGACTTGAACTCTAAGACTGTGATTTTCGACGGATCAAGAAATACGAATATATATATATATATATATATTCATGTATCTTTCTTCTTGGCTCCCATTTCGTCCGCCGCATCGCGAACCTGCCGTATGATGTCTTCCTCGTCCTCCGGATCTTTGAGCCCAGTGGCGAGGACCTGCAGCTCGCGGATGCCCTTCTGGATGTAGATACTGTTTGATTTCGCTTGCTCGGTAACGGTTCGGGTAATGCCCGGCTGCTGAGGAGAAGCTCGAATCTCCTTCATCTCGCTCTCGAGGGCTTTATCCTTTTCTTTCATGTTCGTGATGTCCTGCTTCATGTCGTTCGCGGCCTTCGTAGCTGTATCGGCTGTATCGATTGCAGGTGCTGCTAAAAAAAAGTTGACATTCGACATGTCCCTCTACAAATACAAAATTACATCAAACATCTTACCAAACTTTCCCTCACGAGAAAGCTCGGCACGTGTAACCTTGGGTAATGGAGTACTTCCACTGCTGCATCCCTCCGGCTTCCGCGTTCCAAGCATGTTCTTCACACTTTCCATATCAAGGCGAACTGTTTGATATGCTCTATCCCTGCACTGGCCTACAGGGAGAAAGCAGAACAGAGGATGCCTTAAGTAGAATATGGTTCGTGAGATCGGGTGAGCCCCAATGTGAAGGCTTGAGCCTGTCTTGAGCCCTCCTCCGTGCCTCCTCCTTCCTGCATCCTTCCCGCCCCCTCCTCCACATCCTCCCAGTCCTCATCGCTCATCGCGTCTCCTTCCTCCGCATCGTCCTTCTTGGCCTCCTCGTCCTCCGTTTCCCCTTCTCACCCTGCCCTCCTCTCCTACTCCTGGTCCTCCTCTCCATGATTCTCTTATTCCGCCTCCCATCCTTTCGCCTCCCATCCTTCCCCCGCCTCCCTCCCTCTGCTCTCCTACCGCTTCGCTCTTCCCTTCCTAATTGCTTTCTCGTTCATCCCTGCGGAAGACTCGCGCGTCGGCACGCGCCCTCCGCAGCCACCTGTGCCAGGCCGGTCTGCGGGACAGATGGGTCCTCGATGTCGTTGTAGGCGTGTGGCCACGCAGGCCGGCGAGAGAAAAGGTTCAGGTGGTGGATAGTATGGTGAATATCGCGGCCACCGCCCTGCGGACGAGCGCGCTGGCCACCGCCGCGAACCTGAGGGCCTGTCCCTCGGGTGCGCTCGGGCGCTCGCGGTTTCGTCCTCCCCCTCCCCCTCCCCTCCTCCTACTACTCCTCCTCCTCCTCCTTCTCATCCTCCTCCTACTCATCATCATCATCCTCATCCTCATCCTCATCATCATCATCAGCATCATCATCATCATCATCATCATCATCGTCATCATCATCATCATCATCATCATCATCATCATCATCATCATCATCATCATCATCATCATCATCATCATCATCCTCATCCTCATCCTCATCCTCATCATCATCCTCATCATCCTCATCCTCTCATCCTCCTCATCCTCATCCTCATCCTCATCCTCATCCTCATCATCATCATCATCATCATCATCATCATGATCAGCAGCATCATCATCATCCTCACCAATATAGTCACTATACTCATAACAATCATCTCTCGGCCCTCTTTCGTCCTGCCTATTTCCCTCTGTCTCCTCTCGGCCCAATTCTCTCTACACTACCTCCCTCATCAGCCTTCCTCATCATCATTCGTTTCTTGCGTCTCCTCCTCCTCCTCCTCCTCCGCCTCCTCCTCCTTCTCCTTTTTGCCCCTCTCTTCCTCCTCCTCCTCTTCCTCCTCCTCCTCCACCTCCTCCTCCTCCTCCTCCTGCCCCTCCC